CTACAATAATTCACTAGTAATTGATCTAACTACACTAAAGAAAAAACCTTTCGTGTATCAAGGGACGCAATAAAATGCTGCTTGTTCATTTCTGAAATTTCGGCGGTTCTTTTTTCATTTCATGAAAAAAGAACCGCCGGACGTTACTATGGGGGATGGCACAAGTGGTTCAAAAATTCAATTTTCGCGTAAATACACGCGACAGTTGGTGCCATCTAGCGGGGCGCAGTTGAAACGAAAATGTCTGCAATCTCGAAGCCAATGGCGGGAAATTTATCAATGGCCGTTGTTGCTCCTGTGGCTCCCCCTGCTTTCGGTCTGCTGCTACTAGTGCAGTAAAGCCGGGCAACATTGTGCATGGCAACAGTGACGTGAGACTGTCCGGGCGGTCCGCTTCTTGAGGCGGCCAATTTCAAGTGCACTAACCCGATGCGGAGCACTGAAACGTGATTTTATTTCAAAATAGGCCCTTCCTTAGCACAAAGTACATAACACTGCGAAATTTCTGGACCACCATTTCAACAATCAACATCGACTTATTAGTTGGCGTTAGGGTCCCCTTAAAGCTAGTATAGATATTTCTTCTTTTTTGGTTCTGCTTTACATATTCAGGGGTGGAAGCGGGTTTCAGTCTTTTGGAGCAGCTTTGGGAACAGGAATAACACGGTTTTGGAGCAGCTTTACAGCAGTAAAAGGGGCATTTTGGAGCAGCTCTTGAGCACCAAAAGGTGTGTTTTGGAGCATAAAATTTAGTTTTGTAGCACATTTCTTGGGTAACACATCACTGCTTATTAGAATTTTCGTTTTCTCTTTGCTTTCTCATCAAAACAAAAAAATTCAGTGGTTTTTACTAAGCATTTAATGATGATCAAGTGACCAAAACCACACTTGTGCCAAATTAATATACATATATACTCACTCTCACACACACACACACACGCACACAAACTTGCCCCATACGTTCCTTGGCATTATTGCAGATTTTATCTCATTATTATTGTGTCAAAACACGGAAAAACGAGATCTTAAGTATATACTTCTTACCCTTATTCATTAACCAGGGTCTCATACTGGCAGACTTGGCACCTTAGGTTGTACTTGAGGGACTATTGGTCAGCTGCCAGCTCGTAATAAGTTCACTTGCTACGTGACGCCAAACCGGCTCATAAAGAGTGTGCCAAACTCGCTGCCATGGGTACAGGTGGCGCTGACTAACACTCCCACGTTTAAATTCACATATAAACCAAACCAAATAAAGTGTCTGGGGGGATAGCCGCCGCGATAGCTCAGTGGTAGAGCATCGAACGCATTATTCGAAGGTCGCAGGTTCGGTTCCTGCTCACGGCAAGTTATCTTTTCACCCACTTTTCTTTCTTCACATTTACATTACAATAGGGTCTAATAACTTCCCCTATACATTCCTTGGCATCATTTTCTGTAAGATCTCATTAAGGGGGAGCCCACTTCCAAACATCGTCGAAAGCTGCCTCCACATGCCTGACAAGCCTTCCTTTCCATTTTATGAGCGCTTGTCAGACAAAAAGCTGTTAGGGCCATGTCAGCATGGGAAAACCCAAAACAACAATGAATGCCTGCATTCAATGATCTGGGTGCTGGCACCAAAGGAACAGCATGCTTTTCTGCTCACAGTGGAGGCAGCTGTGGCAGAAGCAGTGCTCAAGTTCAACGCAGGCTATGAAAGGGCACTAAAAGACACGAAAGAGCTGAGCCTATATTCCAGCTGGCAAAGCCGCAGCCGCATGGTTGAAAAGAATCGATGGCGCACGGCAGCTTCAGCCAAGAAGCGACAAGCAACTGAAAACATGCACCCGTGCCTGAAAAAGCACCACACAGGAGCTCACAGTCAAAAGGACTACAGTCGAACCCCGCTACATTGAAACTGAAGGGGCGCGGAAAAAATTTCCTTAAAGCGAAAATTTCGTTGTAGTGAAATCGAAAAAACATAGCCGATCTGAACTAGCAAAACAAAGAAACGTTTATTCTCAAAATTCGAAATGTGTCCGCTGCTTTTTATTCTATCCCAGTAGCATCACGACGCGATTCTCACCCATGCATACAATGGTCATGGTGAAAAGCACGCTGAAACAGTGACTATAACCGCTTTCGTGAACGAACCAAACAGTTACATTAACCAACACCTCCTGAAAAAATTATGCCTGGAACGTGAGCCGCGAACGCACTGCCCTACCCTCTGATTTACCCTCTGATGACAGAGGCGAGCAGTCTCACGTGGCGGCCGGTCGCAACACAAGGCAGGAGGCATGGCCTCCGAGATGGCGTGCTGGCAGGAGACTCCTAACTGAAAAGAGAGCGACGTTCCAGGCATAATTTTTCTAGGAGGCATTCCATTAACACGTTAACGCCAGCAGCTGTCTGCCGTCAAAACGCCGAGATGGCAGCAGGATATCAAGAAGCGGCGACTTTTGCTTCATTTCAAGCTATTCTTATCATCCATCACTGGTGGCTAGCTGATTTTGTTGATAATGTGGACGAACAGCTTCTCCGACTAGTTACTACACTCGCCAAGCGCGAACAAAATGTTAACCATTAGAATCGGAAAAGGCAGCATTGCGCAGATGCACCCAGCAGCTGCGCGAAGGAAACCATGAACTAAGCAACTGATCTTCAGCTTTGGATCGTCTGTGGCTATACAGTAAACCCAATTTTTAACGTTTTGATGCATTTTCAGAAACTGAACATGCATCAAAATACTGGGTTTACTGTATAGCAATAATATCTGAGCCTGGAATCGCATTGTGAAATTTCCATGAAGCGGAATGGCAGAAGAAAAAGCGTTCGTTGTGGCGACAGTATTTATGCATTGACTTCTATGGTCTGCTGACGGGGAACCGTGAATTTTTCGTTGTAGCGGGAATTTCGTAAAAGCAACGTTTATTATAGCAGGGTTCAACTGTATATGCCCGGTGCATACTGAGAATTTCCAAGTGTAGTTACGTAAATGAATGAGTTTTGTTTGTTTTTCTCAGTTTTCTCAAAACAAGCTCTTTGGTCACTTTACTAGTTTGTCGGGTTGATATTGTATAAATAATTGTCAACATAAAGCCAAATCTGTGTATTACAATGTGCTGAGAACAAAATTTCCATTTGCTGCCCATATAAATTTAAAAGGTATTAAATTTCTTTGCATGCGATAGCCATACCATGACTCCTGAACTTTTATCATTTACAGAATCACTAGTTCTTTAAATTGAAATCTGCTTGCAGCATTGCACTTCTTGCTAATTCCACTGTCTAGCTACGCAATAATATTCACTTTTTGATAAGCACTTTTTTTTCTATTGTCTCCGAAAATAATAGAGTGGCAGCATTGTATATCTTCTTTATACCTATAATAAATATTTTTGCACATTTGAAATCAGCCGAAAAAAGGACATGGACATGTATATTTTCTTCATGCTTGGTTTAAAAATGCAGAAAATATCTCCACACACTATGTCCCTCCTTTTAATATGCGGAGGCAGATTGAGCACGTTTACCTCAAAGCACGTTAACGTTCTAGATACCATTGCCATATTCGAAGCATTTTTTACAGTTCCCGTTGTTGATATAACTGCAAAAGTCTTCGACACGTCAAAACGATATGGTCATACTCGCGTAAACTGAAGGTGCCACTCGGTCATAGAGCCAATAATCAAGCATGTGTTTCTTTCTGCGTGGGTACGGTTCATTAAAGTAACGAATGAAAGGGCAATTTAGACCATGCTTTTTTTTGTACGTATCACACCGAACACGTAGCCCTAGTGTCAATGTTGCAGGGTCGTCTATTTTTCGTCGAAAGAAAATAACTTCGATGCGACGGACGCCATTCCCGTTTGGCCAAGAAGACCTATGCATACCCTGCTCGAATGACGAACCCATCTCGATCTTGAAATTCGATGTCAGTGCTCCTTTAAACTACGTCTTTTGCTATCAATGATCCCATTTGCTCAGTTTTGTATGCAGCTCTAGCCGAAAGCAGCGTCGCTTTGACTGGGTGAGCGCTGGATGCGCGTGCACTTTTGAAGTTCTGTCAGTTCCATCGTCGCCATACATAATCGTGTCAAGAATGACCACGGTTTTGTCCACAACGGTTGTGGCAAACGATAACCACACTTCTGACAGTGGTTATCGCTTAGCATGCTGAAAGCTGCGTACTCCCGCATTTCCCAGCTATCACTCGGTTTTTGCACCAAAGTTCCGGTTACCGGTCATATTGCGGTAAAGTGTCCGAAACACGTGAATTTCAGCCCGTTTGACACAATGGGATTCGGCGGAGGACTTCACGAATTCGTAGCAGCCATTTTCGCATCATCGAAATACTATTGTATGCCACATAAACGGCTCCTAAATTGGTTCATATGAATAGCATTGGGTTGGATTTTAGTAAAATTTTTCAAATAACACATAGAAATCTTGCTTTTCGGGAGATTTTTCGGCCAAACGTACAACTGTACAAAATGGTAGAAATCAGGGAGTCTCCTGGGTAATCCGGAAGACTTGGCAGGTATGCTACTGTATCACGGGGAGCAGATTGTGCCCGTTCTGTCACTGTACCACGCTGCATATCCTGGACCCCAGAGTAGTTTCGAAGTGCTCATCGGAGTCGCCACTACGTACGTACTATCGGGCGGCTGTACGAGAGTCAGAAACTTTTCTGCACTTTGGTCAAAAGAAAGAAATGGCTTTGCGATGGGCACTATAGGCAATATGTTTTGTGGCGCTGAGTTTTTTCTTTTGTTGGCAGCGGCGCATGTCAGGAGACGCATGTTCGTAGCTGGTGGTTAATGCGTAGTGCCTTTAATGCATAGTTATGCCGCCGTTCCCGGCAAATACATATTAACAGGGTTTAACTGTAATGAGGTTTCACTACAGCACAAATTTGAATGGCCAGTTTCAGATAAAATATGAACACCAAAGACAACTAGGTTTTAAACATCCCTCAGTCATTAATTTTACTTTGAAAATAATGCAATGATCACCAGAAGCTGCTCCTCTTCAAGGAAGACACCTTGAAGCTTGATACGCTTAGCATGGATATCTGCAGCGACCTTCTCTCTTTCAGCTTCATCACAGGGCTGAAATCGCATCATAGAAAAATCACTACCCACCCCCGAAGCATACGACAAAAGCAACATAATTTGGGTGTAACAAAATTGCAGTAAAACATCAAATCAAACTCTGTTATTTCAAAATGCCAATTAATTTGAAATATTTCCACGGTCCCATATTATGTAATGCAAGCCTGAGCAGACAATTTGAAGCGGTGGTCAGCACCAGTCCAGCAATTCGGAAACTTTTGATGTCATGTGCTATTTCAGATCACAATTTTGCCACAATTAAGAGCCACAAGGCAATGCAATGTAGCCATACTAATGACTGGCAGTTGAAGCACCCTCACTTCGCTACTTACAAAACAAAAGAAAAAGAGAAAAAAAAAAGGGGGGGGGGGGTCTCCTTGTTGGCTGAAATGTGCACCTGTGAAAAACAAGATGTGCACAGCGGTGATGCGTGGCTAGCACGTTGCATGCTTATCGCACTGTCAGTGCGTCATAGTTTGACCATTCTTTCTGTGAATATAAAGGATTCCATAAATGACAGTTAGCCGGAATTAGTAATGTATGGAAAACTACAATTATAGCTAGCTCTAGCAATTTGCGTACTTGCACTGCAGGGGGCAAAATGCCTGCATCACCCAATTCGAAAACTCTGTTTGAAGGTTTCAATGATCATGTTTTCCAGCCAAAACACATTGGGAATTTCGTCAGACTGCCATAATCAAATTCTTTATTTCACCAGAATAAATAGGTGAATAGAGACATCATAAGGTGCTGACGCAACGAGAAGCAGGCAACATGCTGTCCATGCGTCACTACTGTGTTGCAGTGAAGATGTCTTGTTTTTTGCAGCCCACATTTCTTCTTGTTCTCTCTCTTTTTTTTTTAGATGGCAGCAGCAAGGTTTGCTTTTCTCGTTTATTTGCGGTGAAATTGAGACCAGGTATGGAAGGAAAACATTCACTTCGGAGTCACAAACTAGCCGACAGAGCAAACGAGTTCTTCGAATAATTTTAAGTTTTTCGCATCCCACTTATTGTATGTTCTCTTTATTTGTAGATTTCTCATAGTCTCCGTGACTTCTAACTAGGAGGTTTTGTAGTATGAGTGGTTCAATGTTGAGAATAAGATAAAACACAGGATAAAGTGAAAAATAGGAGTAAGGGCAGTGAAAGAGACAGATGACAGCCCCAGAATCACTGCCAAATTACCCACATTACTACATCAAGATTATGTGGACAGGAAATTAAAAAAAAGTTTGTGCTAGAAACTGGTAGTTTACACGAAAAATTAAAAATATACTGATGGTTAATCAATTTTACCTCAATGTCCTCCAGGTCAGCCAAACGGTGTCGCAAAACAGATTTAAGCTTGCGCAAACTGCACTGTAGTTGGCAGGCTTCTACAGCTTTTCGTTCGCTATTTTCAGAGTTGTGCTGCCCACAATCCAAGCTAAGCTCTTTAAGCAGGCTGCTATAGCGATCTTCGGTGGAAGCAAGATTAGATGCACTATTTAGTCTTCTCTGAAGTTCTGTCCTCAGCTGCCGAACAACAGTAGCAAGAGGACCACAGCTGGCAGAGGACATCTGAAATTAGAAAGGACAGGGAAGACATGTCTAGAACTTACCCAGAAATGCAGCTGACTTTTCACTTTTTGAAACAGACTTCAGAGCAGAAAAATTACTACTTTGGAGCAGCTATAAGTGCTTTCAAAGGAGAAATGCTCATTTGGAGCAGAAATTGGTGTTCTAGGAGCAGATGGGAAAATATTCTAAACAACTTTTAGAATTCAAAGCATCACCAATGTGTTAAATAATAATACTATTTATATTGAATGACATTTCAAAGGCAACAATCAATGTAACTTGTAAAAAAAGAACAATCAGAATGATGCTTCGGTATGAAATGCACCATGAAATAAGCTATATACAGGCGCGAGATGGCTGAGACCGAAATTGGGAGCAGTTGGCGACATTTCATATGTCAATTGATTGATATGTGTGTGATAACGTCTCAAAACCACCATATAATTATGAGAGACGTCATAGTGGAAGGCTCCAGAAGGTATTTATTATGTGGTCTTGAGAGCTTGAAAAGACAAAATTTTTAGCAACTTGGGGGCACCAGTGCATATATTAATTGGCTTATAACACACGACACTGAAACAGATTTTACGGGAAGTTCTTGAACAGCTTATCGCCAGGTATGATCTGCACTAACTTTTTGTAAAATGTAATGTAAAACATACCTCCTGACCTATCTAGCTCTTCTAACAAACATGTGCAATAATATTTAAGAAGGACTTTGTGGAAAACTAGGTTCACCAAAAACATTTAAAAAGCGAGATGCAGCACAGTCAAAAAGAAATCCAAAATTGTGATTGCACAAGAATCGTAGTTGCGTAACAGTGGGCCTTCGCTTAAGAAAAGCCTGACATGCTAGCATCGCCCCCCCCCCCCCCCCACCACTGTATGGCAAGCTTATAACAGACAACAAAAGCAGGCTACACCGCCGTTCACGGCCACCTCGTGCGGGACCACCTTCAAGAGTGTGGCGCGGGAGCTAAGAAACCTCGCAGCACCGCTACTCTCGTGAAGCGCATGCGTATGACCCTAAGAGATAAGGGAATGGTGCTGATAACGCCTCTCCCTCCGAGCAACCATGTGTTATTATTACGGCTCCTGTTGGCCTGTTCTATTTTCTTTATTATCGTAGGTCATCCCCGTCGACGTAGAACTCCCGATAATACATCGATTTGTGATTGCCGCCCGCGCCACTCCATGACTTGCGTAAAAAGCACTCGCACCATGCTGCGTAGATAAGAAATTTGTGTCCACGCAAACGAATTGCTGAACGTACAGAAGCTGGTTTGGATGCAAAAAAAAAGAGAGAAAAGAAAAAAGAGAAAAGAATGAAAAAGAAGTACGCCAGTCATACTGCGGAACAGCCGCCGACGAAAACACTGGTCGAATGTAAAGCTAAGCCCAAAAGTTTGTGCGGAGCCAGCAAGCAGCGATGTCTTTTAAAGCGCTTGTTGAGAGTTTCGATATCACAATGGAGCACTGGGCAAATGACCGTTTACCAAAACTGTGCCACGTAATCGTCGATGCATCACGAATCAAAACAAAAGCGCCGAGGTGCCCGTTAATATTGTTTAAAATTGTTTGAACGTGCATTCCATCACCACGGCCTCGCAAAAGAAGATGGAAATGGGTCTCTGGCTACCTGCAGACACCAATGTGCGGATTTCGCATGCGATGGTTTTTTTAAATGCAAAATGCATTAAGGACTTGGTTGTCTAAATAAATTAGTAGCTAATGGGCATAAACCATGCGTGGGTTGCATGCATTTGGTTGCTCACGGAACCCAGTTTAAAAACCCATGTGCAGGCGCCAGAGCATCCAGGAGACGTGTCGCATGCAAGAGAATAACTCCACGTTTAGTTACTCAATTAAAGCAAATGCGCACATGTAGTTGACCGCACTGCATGCAGCAGCGTCAACATGAAAACTGCAGCGAACAAAATATCGCACAACAAAGAATGCGAGAGTCAACCCCGCTACGCTTGGCACTCGGTTAAGGAGGCTAACTCGGTGGTTTTCGTTCAGCAACAATTGCACCAGAGCACACAGCTTAGCTATAGTAGAAGCAGCATGCTCGATGCATGGCAGTCCATTTTTGAAGGTCACATATATTTGCAACAGTTTAGATGAGATTATGCTGGCACCATGGAAGCCTTCATCACCAGAAAGGTGCAGAGTAGAAAAAAAAAAACACACGCTTGGGTGCGTCTTACTTTCTTGGTATTCTTGACGCTGCGCGGAAAATTATGCAGCCAACTCGGCCTTTTTTCCCTACTGAAGCTGAGGTCGGCATGAAGTTTCTAGCTTTCAAAGCTGTTTTGTAGCATCTTGGCACAAGAAAATGGAAACGTACCAAAAATGTACCATATGTGCAGCTGTCTCGCCCCTATTTAAAATACCGAAGCTGTGGCGCACATAAGACTAAACTGATAAAGTTGAGTACCCCATAACAGCAGTAATCACAGTCAAATTTAACTGTTGCCAAAGCAGTAGCTGATAATCGATTCAGACCAAAGCATTGTCACATTTCATCCAAATGGCCTGTCTGTCAAGTTTAAAGAACTGCTGCATGAGCCGTACGTTTGATATACCAGTTCTTTCTGCATAAATGACATCAGAACTGATAACACTGGATACACACATACTAATTTAATAGTACACAGAGGGCTATCTTTTTCCCTTCCTTTTCTAAAGGCTTGATAGTAGGCCCTGGTGTTCCTGGTGTTCCCTGGTGTTCATTTTCTCATTACCATTTCAGAGCAAGTTTGGAACAGCATGTAGCTATATTTCTCTTTTGAAGCAGTTTCGAGCAAATGCAGTAGCACCTCCATCACTGCTCACCTATAAAATTGACTTTTTGACTTTTAAAGACATGACCATTCCAAGCAGGCACAAAACTGTTGAAGACCTACAGTCGTGCTCAATATGAGTTTGAACATGCAGTTTGTACTCAAAATAGTGCACACACTATGAAGTGGGACCTATATGCTAAAAGCACGTCTTTTTCGATCCTTTCTTTTGCTTCGCATGTGCTGCTACACATCTGGAATACATTGATTTTTCATGCACCAACACTTTTTTTTAAATATGATTTCCTTTCAAAATCGGTGCGCCCGCTTTCACTTGCGCATTCAAGCACACGCGTGGTATGACCAGTTTTAGTATCGTTCTTTGGGCAATTATCGCTTCTTGCAACCGCAAAGCTGATGGCTGTTTGTTTCTAATTTTACAAAAGGTGACTGCTTGTTACTCCTGCTTATTGCTTTGCAGGGCGCGATTACATCTGTTTTTATGCAGTGTTAAATTACAGAAACGATGCTGCTGTGATTTGAGTTTCCCGTTTTGGGGACATGTAAAAGCTCAGCCCATCTTGTTGAAATAAGACAACGGATCATTATACAGATCAACCTGCCTGTAATAATCTCTATAGAACGAATTCAGCAATATTAGTAAGTTTTCAGATTACTCGTCATTACTTCGGAGGAGCACATGCATTTGCGGCCCACCCTTTGTAACAAAGTGGCAGCAAGAGACATCCTTGATACAACCAATTTTCGCCACCAACAACACAAGAATTTCGCACCGAACTCAGAAATTTTGTTTGACCATGCATTCTTTGCAGTTCAACCAACGATGACGAAGCAGCGGCATCACGCAAAGTGCACTTGTAGCGTAGGTGACTGCGAGGTAAGAGCAAGTGCTTGTTAGCGCACGCAAGTATCGGAAAGCGGGCTGACACCCCTTGTGCGCCAGCATTGCCGCCATTCACGCCACTTCGGGTGTAAGCTTGGATGTGTCCTCGCTTCAAAGCCAACAAAATGACTTGAGTTGGCAGCGCCACTGTGTTTGCAGCAGAATTTTCTGAACTGCCCTATGGCTCCCTATGACATTCATCTTTTAACTTTTTTTTTTTTAATGCAGACAACCACAATGTCACTGCCACAAGAGATGCGAGGGTACGTTGCCGGAGCCAATCTAGGAGGCCACGGCTACACCGTGACGAAGAAGGGTCCTCCGAACGTTCAACAGAGCAAAGATTTAACAGTTTCACCGCAAAGCAAATAAATGTGATAGCAACAAATTGTTATGTTATATAAAGTAAGGCACGCTGCTAACTCTTACGGTGTGATAGCACATAAGTCTACGAAACGCTGGTGGAAAAAGATACTGCCACTCCAGTCTGTACATACAAGCTGTGCACCGATTCTTGACAAGATGGCATGTGCACCCTCCAAATCGAAAGTCCACTTTTGCAGCTCGAGTGACCGCTAGGGGAGCAGGAGTGATGTTGTCCCCTCTCACCCATATGTCGACCGTGGCACTGCGCTCGAGTCTCTCGGGACGTTTTGCGTGCGTGTCAGAAGTCAGAGGGACCTCTCCGGACAACGAAGGGTGAGCGCACGTTTTCTTACCGTGCGTCGGCTCCCTTTGTTTGGAGCTCGCTTGGACTTCGACAACGGCGCCTTGTGCCTGCGGCGCCTTGTGCCTGCGGCGAACGCTTACCTTTAGTTGCCCCTTCCGAGCGCTAGGCCAAAGAGTGGCGCAGTGTGTTCGCGCGTGGTTGTACTGCGCCAAACCGTGCTTCTCAAAGCCAACGTGAGCAGAGTTTGCCCTTGCTCGAGCGATTGGGCCCTGTTGCCGCTGATCGTGATAGCACGCAGCATAGCCGTAAAGGCCCGTTTTCCTTAGCGGCATGTCACACCGTGAATTCCTTTTGCTCACGGAGAAGTACTCACGGCACCCTTTGTGTTGTACTTTTCACCCGTGGCGTGGATAAGCCTCGTTTACTTTCCCGCCGCCTTTTGCAACAGGCTTTGTACTACTGTATTTTTGGTGTTGCCACAGGCAATAAATAAAGTGTTTCGTCTTGTTCAGAGCAGTACTGTGTACTTTCCAAGCTGTGCTTGTTGCCCTGGCTGTCCAAAGTTGCATTTGCAGCGGCATTAGTCACGCGAGAAGACAGTGAACGTGGCCCTGCCGCTCGCTAAGACTGAACCCACGCC